CGCTTGTCAACCTGACAGGCCGGTAGTTCGCGGGCAAAGCTCTGCCACCGTCCTTAAAAATCGGACAGATGATTGCCTTCTTCCATTCAGAAGGCACAGCTGTCGAGTGATATTGTAAACATGCATGTCAGAGGGTCACTTAGCTCAGCGGCCAATTCATGCATCAGCTTCGGATGAATTGAATCAGGGCCAGAAGCTTTGGAAGGATTTAGCCCTTGCAATAGCCCCAAGACTTGTGTCTCCGTTATGCTTATTTCAGTTAGGCAAGAATCCTCCGGAACTTTAGTGACCAGCTCAACTTGAGGTAGAGAGGCCTCATGAGAAAAGACACCAGTATACTGTTCGCTAAGTATACAAGCCTTATCATAGCCGGTATGCCCACGGGTCCCACCCGCTCGTAGTAAAGTCGGTATAGACGAGCTTGTATCGCTGCATCTCTTTACGTAAGCAAAGAACTTCTTTGGGTTTGTTACGGCTGCGTCAGCCAAAGCCTTCTCATACTGAAGACGAATAGTCCTAAGATGTTGCTTACATTTAATTCTAGCCGCTCGATAGCTTACGTAAATGCTGGTTGATGAAGCCGCTTAGTAAGTACGCCAGCACTTAGAGCGTTTCCTGAGCAGGTATTTACCTGTATGATCTATCCAAGGAGGCTGATCCCGTGTCACCCGTCTCTTAATGTGTAGGATGTGGGGAGTAGAAAGCGCGGTGAGGTAAGACTTAAATTTCTCCCAGACTGTCTCAACGGTGTCAGCCACGGCGTTTGCGCAACACAGAACTAAAGCTTTATCTCGCATTGCGTTAAAGTCTGCCCGCCAAATATTTGGACATGCGTCAGCAGTAGCCTGATGACACTTAGTTAGAGCAGATCGAAAGGATATGCGGACATGGTCACTGACTCCTAGAGGACAGCCGTATGTAATATCACTATCGAAAGCTTGTGACCGCAAAAATGAGATCCAAAGTAGACGGAAGCTTGTTGCGCATATATCTAGTTGGGAGGTCCACGAACTGATGCAAAGGAAGTTGTAACGTTGCTCGAGGAGATCCGAACCGAAAAAGCCTACCGCCAAACTGCAAGAAAGATCAGCCCAGCAGACTTCAGGGAGGTTGAAGTCACCCAGTATTAGACACCTATTGGCAGTCTGAGTAGGAATAAATTCAATAACCTCCCTGGAGATACTTCCAGAACTTCGATATACCACTACAACTGTAAACTGAGCAGAGGAAGTGCACACAATAGTCGACAGGGCTTCAACAGTTTGATCCGGCGACTGGAAAACACAGGTCCTCAACACACCAAGTTTACAACTCATAAAGAGCGACGCCACCTTAACGGCCAAGGGAGCGATCACATCTAAGCAGTGCGTAGCCAGGTAAACATATTCACCGTCTGTGATATCCGGGGACAACCACGTTTCAGTGAAAGCAAGTATGTCGGGACGAGATTTGTCTACAGTTAGACTCACCTCATGTAACTTGTTCTTTAGGGTACGCACATTGCTAAGCACTACCCGAACTCGGCACGCTCAGCCCTGGGTCGTACGCTACGAGGAGGGGGGTTCTGGTAGGACGGGATTTGACTTCCGGCTGACAATCTGAAACACAAGACGAAGGCCTTGTTCCCTAGCCACCCGTCTGCTCTTGAGGCTTTTGATGACTTCCTTTAACTTTAGTCGATCTGGAAAAGGGAGGTCCGGCTGAATGTTGACATTACTACCCTTGAGTTTGAATGCAAAGCGTAGTGATGCCTTGCGTTCCTCCTGGGTTGAGAGGACTACAAGAAGTAGTCAGGGTCGCGGATGTGACGTATCGACAGGGACATTCCCCAGTCTGGTTAACTTCCTGATAGTGAGACCGGGAAAACCAGGTGGAAGCATCTTGTTGACGCAGAGCTTGAACCACTGGTCATCCAGCATACGTTCCTTGGGAAGAGCTGCCGCGGATTCAGCAACGTTACGGAAGACAACGCTGTAACGCTGTAAAAGAAGCACCTCGACGAGGCGTATTCACTCCATGAGTCTATGACATAACCACAGTTTCGAGCGGTTTAGCAGATGACACGGCGCGTTTCTTCGCTAAGAGAGCTGGAGTTCATGTTGCTTCGCCTTTTGACATACGCGAAGAAGCATTTCGGGTTTGATGAGGCTAGACGAGCAAGCGCTACTTCATGCTGTAGACGAGCACCTCGTAGATGCTGTCGGCAGGCATTTCGAGCCTCACGATATCGCTTGAAGATGCATGATGAAGGAGCACATAAGTAGGTACGCCAACATCTGGAACGTCTGTTAAGTTGTTTGCGTACAGCAGAACCAAACCAGGGTGGTTTTGCCCTAGTTTTATTCTTGCCAGATGGGGGAGAGAGAGCTCACTCAATTACGATTTAAATCTGTCCCAGTCAGTTTGAATGTCGTCACTTTCCAAAATGACACAAGGCAACTTTGCGGCCTTGGCTTTCACTGTCTGAAAGTCCGCGCGCCATATGTTTGGAACTCGGTCGGGATGATCAGTAGTCTGATGACTAAAGGCGCACTAGCACCGAGAGGTGGGTTGTATACAATATTCATGACAAAATCAATGGATTTAGCGAATAGCAAGCCCAAGAGGGACGGGCTTTGACCCATCATGAATCTAGTAGGTCGATCGATAAATTGGTGCAGGAAAGCATGCAAGGTCAGCTCGCGGAGCTCGGTAGCCAAACATCTTGTAACAGCGTCGCAGGAAAAATTCTGCCAGTCAACGTCGGGAAGATTAAAGTCCACCATCACTAAACATCCATTTGTCAAATGTTCACGGATGAAATCAACAAGTCCCTTAGCAATACTGTCGGGCTTCTATAAACCAGCACAACTTTAAGTTGCGCGGAGGCAATACACAGGTTAACTGCGAGTGCCTCAACCTCACCGTCTGGTGATCGGAAAGTATACGTCTTAAAGACAGTAAGCGCGGAGTTAACATATAAAGCAACGTCACCTCCGAGCCGATCAGAGGTGCGATCACATCTCAGCAGTGCGTAGTCTGGCAAGCGCACTTCACTGTCCGTGACGTGGGTGGACAACCACGTTACAGTGAATGCGAGAACATCTACACGGCAGTCGTCGACAAGGCTGCCGACTTCGCACACCTTGTTTCGCAGACTACATACATTGCTTCAGATCACCTGATATATATATATATATATATATATATATATGTATATATATATAGCAACAGTATATGAATAGACATAGAGCCATCAGAAACCATGGAACACAAACGAAGGTACAGAAATCGTAAAAGAAAACACAACACAACACATTAAAGTCCATGGTTTCGTCAGATGGCGATACTACCCGGTTGCCCAAGCCGAAGTAGGGTAGGGTAGGAGACACCACTCCGAGCCTTTGGCTGAATAGCCTGCCCGCAAGGCATCGGAGCGAATTCAGGGAATCGCTCCCATTGGGAGCCGGTGACTGACTGCTCAGTTCATACGCCTTTCGTTTGTTTCTTTGTCAAACAGGGACCCACTGCTCCCCAGAATAACAGCACAGTTGCTGGAATATAATGCTTCGCCAAGATGAAGCAAGGGGCGGTGACTTGATTTAGTGGCGAGTCACGTCCGCCACGTCAGTGTTGTTAAACGGACATATGTGGCTTTTTATAGGGAGAACGCTCGCCAGGCGAAAACCCATCACGTCCAGGAACACTGCCGCCGAACCATTTGCTGGAACGGAAAAATCCCGAACCACCCAGCTGGCACCACGAGGAGGTTGTTCGGCAAGCCAGCCAAGGGATTTAGCATTGTGAGTCCGGGATCGCGTGTCACCAGAACCGGCTCTGGTCATCATCATCATCAACAGCAGTACATCAGCCATTTGAACTGATGCTTCGTTGCCATACAACCATGAGGACCTTTGAAATAAAGAATAAGAAGAGGGAGAGAAGGGGGACTTACCTGAAAACCTTAATGCCCTAAGCAAACATTCAGAGTCAAGGCTCTGGTAAGGCGGAAGTGGACCGCCGGCTCACCATCCGAAAACCCACCAAGAGGAGACCCTTTTCTCCTGCTTCACGGCGGGCTTTAAGATCTCACACAGCTTTCCACAATTTCAGCCTATCCGCCAAAAGGATGTCTGGGTACACAATGACACCAGTGCCCTTGAGCTTAAAGGCGAAAGGCAGAAGTGCTTGGCGCTCCTCCGGAGTGGAGAGAACAGCTCGCAACAAGCGAGGGCGAGACTTGTCAGTTGGCAAATTACCGAGTCTGGTTAGTTTGCGCACAGTCAAGCCGGGGAAGCCGGGAGTTAGGAGTTTGGTAACGCATATTCTGAACCACTGAAGGTCATCTAGCATACGGTCTTTTATGAGAACAGCAGATGACTCAGTGGCGTTTCTGAAAATAAGACTGCAGTCGGTATACGAGCCTCCGCGATGCGGAGTATTTACCGAAAGCTCCATGGACATCGGTGTTTTCAGTTTAGTGTCCGCTTTGATAGACTCTGATGTTGTAGATGTTTCCGGCTGTAACGATTCCGTAGTGGTAGAATTTGAGGGGGGCATGTGCACCCGACGGACCTCTCATGTCTGCCTTGGGTCTTGCCGCTTTTTAACCCTCTTTTGCTTTCTTTTGACAAGGGCAGAAGCCTGCTGCTCTCCTTTGCTAACATCTGAATCAAACACGCTATCTGGGTTTCGTTACTAAAGGGTCGTTGCTAACAGGTAAACTGACATTCGACAGTGAACAAACAGATGCCAGTGTCTTCTACCGTCTCCTGACAGAAAAGACCTGAGCGTTCTAGGCTCTTCACAATCCATGCAACTTTCCTGTCTAGCGACGCAATCAGAGACAGCAAACTTTCCACAGAAACAGGACTGCTCTTTATTGGTGTGTAACGCTCAGCCCTGCGCACACAACAGTAGAGTAAACTTTCGCTACTGGACAGAAAAGCATACTGTCTACGATCCAAGCCAGTACAGGACTTCTGGAACCAACGGTTACAGATATCGTACTGCATGCCCCCGGACGAATCTGTAACCGCTTCTAGACACCCCACTTTACCACATATGACCACAGAGTCGTCGGAAAGAGGACACGGCGAGTTTAAGCAGCGCTTGACAACCATCGCGACGGAGAGGGTTCAGAGAATTGAATGTAATAGATAAGCAGCAAAGATGTGAACCGGTTTACGGTGACAACATGTGCAAGCGACGAGAGCACCCGTCGGAAAGACCAAGTGTGACACGAGTGTATTGAAATGGACTTGAAACTGGTTCACGACAGAGGATCCGATTGGTCCACTGATCTTACAGAGGGCTCTGGATAGACTTTGGGGCTGGTCAATTTTGTGGCAGTTGCCCGTTAATTTAGCGAAATGTTCCGTTTTACGCGTTGGCCCGAATGAACCGCCGACGCGTTATTTGCTTGGCGGCAACGAGATACCGCGGGTTAAACTCCAATATGACCTCGGTGTTTTGCTGGCATCTGACTTGAAGTCCAGTGAACACTGGTGGACAGCTGCTCGCAAAGGTTTCAACATGTGAATGATCCGCAGGTCATTCGGGATCAAGACCACCGACATGTTCGTTAGACTATTTTCGGCTTTTGTAAGGCCGCACTTGGAATAGTGCGTTCAGGCTTGTCCTCCATGCCTGGTTGTTGATAACATGGCAGTTGAACGAGTCCTGCGGTCCGGGACGAAAATGGTGAACGGATTAAAGAAGCTGACGTAGCCGGAGAGGCTACGTAAGTTGGATATGTTTTCCATGTATTACAGGCGGCTTCGGGCGACTTGGTCCTCACATATCGTATACTGATGGGTCAGGTTGTTCCTGATTTGACTGGACTGTTTCGCCCAACTCCAGCGCCAACCCTTCGTGACCACCCATTAAAGTTGCACAAACGCCGGTCTGACCGGGTTGGGGCAGCTTTTCGGTTATCGCGTAGGGTCAAAGCTTATTGGAATGCATTGCCTGCAGACGTCATGATGGTACCGACGGCGAAAGAGTTCGAGCATCGACCTGACGCTCTCGGTCTGCAGTTTAAAGTCTCCCCCTTCATGTCTTCAACTTTTCTTCGTCTACTACGGCCTACGCTTCTTTCACTCATTTTAACTAACATATTAATATTGCCCATGGAAATCGATAAGCTTGTCTTCCCTGTTTCCTTTCCTTTACTGACACTACTGTTTTCTTTATTCTTCACGTGGCCGGCACAGCGGGGACTGCTAGTGCAGAGTATGTGAGCATTGTTTGGTTGACCATGTGAATCGTGTGTGTTGATTTGGCTCTCCTTTGGCACATCAAGGCACCGGTTTCCCTGTTGGATCAACGACATTTTCGAAGGTGGAACATTCGCGGGATTTTCCTACTGTTCCGGTTCCACTTGAACTTGAGTAAGTGAGGTTGAGGCTTTGTGTTCTACCTCCAACTCCCACACCGGTCTAGTCTGCAGATTTTGCGGGTGTAATCGCAGTCGACAAGGCGCGTTTCTTCGCTAATGAAACTGGGGTGAATGGAGTTGGAGCTTTGTGCTTTACCTTCGAAACCTTTATAGGTTAAGTACATTCAGGCTTTGAGGGAGACTTACGGACTTTCTTAGCTCTCTTTCGCTTGCTTTTAATGGGCACAGAGGGCAGAAGATCGGTCTTGCCTTGGACGACGTCCAGTACGACATCAGAGTCCCCGGTAGAGGCATGCTGGACCAGTGAGGCACACGACACCACACTCGGATTCTCAACGACAGCAATTGAGGTTAGTTGCATGTCTTCCTCCAATGAGCCGACATCAATAGAGATTCCCATTTTCCTCAACACTCCACTTTTCGATCAACAGATGTGAGGAAAGACCACGTCCGCTGGTTACCCAGCCCGACGTTGCTCGTTGTCTCTTCAGTGATCTCATTGGAACATTGTATTGAATGGAAATAAGAGCTCGCTTTACATGGCCGGTAGGGTATAAAGAGTTTGGGTCGGGTCTGATAAAAGGCAAAGCAAAGCGGGTTGGACTCGCGTGTTAGCCGTATCTTCATCGGGCTTATGCGGCATTTAAACAGAATGCA